GTCCCCAACACGGTGCCCGCGGGCGCCATGGCGCCCGTGGGGGCATTTCAATGCGCCCGCCAGGTGCTCGGGGCTGGCCTGGCCCCGGGCACATGGCGCACGGGCGCTTGGCGGGGGGAGCGCCGGGCGCGTGGCGCTTGGCGGAGATGAGCATTACTATGGAGTTCTGGATGTGAAAAAGTTGTTCAGAGCGAAAAATTATTGTGAGTTTTGCCACACAGTGTACACTCATGACCACTCTTGCAGGTATTGTTGCCGCCTCTGCTTGAGCGGAACGTGCTCAGACAGCGTGGGCGTGCCGCTGCGGTGTCCTAGCTGTAGACTATTTTGTCGAGCCAAAGAGTGCTTAGTCAGACACATACACTTCGCATCGAAAAAACAAGTTGAATGCCTGTCTAAAACTTTGTGTGATGTGTGTCAGTCTTACATGGACAAGCGGCCCGGGGGCATTTGTGTGCGCCCACCAAGTGCTCGGGGCTGGCCTGGCCCTGGGCACGTGGCGCATGCATGGTGCCGGTGCTGGTGCCGGAGCCGGCCCCGGGCGCATGGTGCTTGGGGGGGGGAGGGGAGGCGTGCCGGCCCTGGGTGTGCGGCATTTGGAAGGGGCGCTAGCCCCAGGCGCGCGGTGCTTTGGAGGGGGGGAGCACCGGCCCCAGGCGCATGGCACTTGGGGGGGAGCGCCAGCTCCGGGCGCGCGGTGCTTTGGGGGTGCGCCAGCCCCGGGCATGTGGCCCTTAGAGGGGGCACCGACCCCGGGCATGCAGCTATGGGGGGGGCCCCACCCTGGGCACACTGATATGGGGGGGCCGCCCCCGGGCACGCAAGTGTCCCCGCCCCCTGGCGCCCGGCGGGCAAACGGCCACGCCCCTGGCGCCCGACAACCTCAAAAGGTTGGGGACCACTGCACTAGGGAGTAATTACTTTGAATGGCCTTGAGGAGGAGCTATTTCAAAATAGCAGCAGCAGAGCATCCACACTACAGCTATTTTGACATAGCTATTATGGAATAGGTGTTATTCCTCGTGGAGTGAGGTTTACTGAAGTCAGAATAAGCCGTCCGTTATTTTGAATTTATTTAGAAATTATGGAATTGCTGGGTAGATGCTCGCATTGTTATTTTGAAATAACATCAGTTATTTTGAAATAATTGTGCTGTGTAGACACATCCTCACTGACTGGCCCCTGACTGAGAAGGAGAAAGACACTCCACACATTCCCCTCACACACCAGATCCTGGGGGGCCCAGCCTAGTAGGTTTTGAGTGGTCCACCCCTGCATTGGGGGAACTGGAGTGCCAGCATGGGGCTTCCCAATGCTGGGGGAGCCCTCAGCCTTGGGGGCTGGATCCAAGCAAGGTGGTGGCCACATCTGGCCCCCAGGCCTGAGGTTCCCCACCCCTTTTGTAAATAGATAAAGGGCCAACTATCCTCCATTGCCCCTCAGTTCATCAGTCATAATTTGGTTGCTTTCTTTTTCCTAAATTCATATTGTCACAATTGATTTTGGGGTCAGAGTCCCAGTGAGGAAGTAAGTGTTTGACAACAAAATCATTTTATAGAATGGAAACTACAGATCCTGCATTTTGGACTATCAGTTTTCTAGACTGGAGGGGGCTGTCTTATTGTTCTTCTAATCTAGATGCTTCTTCCTCCCTGTGCATATGGGAGATGGCAAAAGGTCTATAATCTTTATGACCTTTTAAAGCCAATATACTGTTTTACAGGTTGATTCAACAAGGTAGACAAGACAACTCATCTCCCAGATGGTCTGTAATATCTGGAAGCATATTGAGTAAGTGCAGGTCCAGTCTAGTCTCTCCACAGTCCTCTCACAGTACATCTGAGCAAGATCCTCTGACTTGTTCAGGGATGGCCACACAATGAGAGGACTAAAAGGGACCCTTTTCAGTATTATGGGTGACACCTCTGGTTTCAGGTCCCCTGGTTCATGTCAGGAAAATGCACAAATAGGCTTACACATTCCACAAATAGGCTTACACATAGGGGTAGGAGAGATGCTACTTGGTTTAGTGACTTTCAGTGTTTTGCTGGTTTAGCAAAATGCCATTTCCCTAGATTGCACTGGACCCTGTTTTGCCTGAAAGACACAGTCACCTTATGAACAGCAAGGCTTGTCTCTCCCATAGTATCAGTGATTCTGCCACAATGCTTTCAAAAGGAAGTTCAGGGGCTCTGCTGTTGGCCATTCTATGAAAACAACTGCTCACTCCATGAGACTGTCTACTGTGTGCAACATCCAGTCTGTTAGCCATGTCAGTCGTCACCGTGTGCAGTGAATGGGTGTGGCTTGTGGGGTGTAGTCTGGTGTATCCGATGTTCCATGGATGGCCTGATGTGCCCTGTCAGTGTCGGTACTCACCCTAGGCCCTAGAAGGTGTACTGGGTGCAGTATGCAGGATATAGTTGGCCAGGTCAGCACTTTCCCCTTATTTCAGGCCCTAATTGTTACATGTTTCCTAGGGCTGGTGCCATATAGAGCCCACACGGAGATCTGAGATTGTTGTTTATACTTTAGATTATTTTATAGCCAGCCTTACTTCTGGAGAAAGTGAATCTGCATCCCAGACAAGCCAGAATAGTCTCCTCCATGATCTCATTTATGGCTTCTGAAGCTGAATGAAAGGTTACATTGTCTGCAATAACTTAACAGTGGAATTAACTCCCCAAAGCAGCTGGCAGCGTTGCCATTTGCTGCCCAAATGTTTTTCAGTCTCTGGACTGTGGGCTGAAAGCACTAATAAAGGTGCTTCGTTATTACCTAATATTAATATAATAAGCCACACTCTGAACGCTCTCTGGGACCATGAAAAATTAAAAATTGTCAGTGAATATGGTTTGGCATTATTTGAACACTACATTTTACAGATTAAATACTAGTGGGTGCCACATATTTCCAAGCTTCTTAAAAGGATCATCTCTCTATTATTTTTCGTAATTTAAAAAAAAATCCAGAATTGGGACTGCCTACCTCTCCTGTGGATGAAAAATATCTGTGGACTCTAGGGATTATGAGCAGATAATATTTAATCTGCTATAAAATTCCAATCAAATTGTAAACAAATCAAAGTCCACTTGAGACATCTGTTACCTCTCTATGCAGATGAGCACTTAGAACTTTCATGCATTTGATTTTGCTTAACTGCATTTCTGTCTCATTTTATATGTCTTGAACTCAGCTGATGCAGACAGAAGATGACCATCATAATAATAATGCCTAGGCATCGCCTATGAATATGTATTTATTATATAGCATTTTTTGGATTTAACAGTAATAGGGCCTGGCTTTGAGATTAATAGTTGAGAGTGTGATTAAAATGTTTTTTGCATTATTTCTCAGCTGAGGTCACATTTTTGTCCCATGAGGACCTTTCATCTAGCTCTTGCTTGAAAACCTAAAGGCACAGTCTGTTTTATTTATTAAAAATTGCGATGTCATCTTAACTGCATTCACTTTGTTGGCCATTTTGTATTCCAAAATCAGGCAGGACCAACTTAATGACACGTGAAGGGTGGGTTTGGTTGCACACAAGCAATGTTACCAGCTCTCAAGGTTTTACTTTGAGTCACATGATACTTGTAATTGTTCTTTAGCATTTGCAATCATGATTACACAAGAATTTCAACTTTTATTAAATTGTTAAAAATAACATACGTTTCTAGCAATTGTGGTCACAAGAAAAGCTTGAAAATGTAACTCCTAGATAACCAGAAGGCAAATAAAAAGAAGCTAACATGTATTATTTTTTAAAAAATTTATGATTATTAAGCCACTCTCATGATTTTGGGGACCTGACTCATTGTTGAAAGCTTGGAGTTGATAATGTTGGTGGATGACCTGTTGCCTGAGTTTCTGAATTTTTGCAGGCAGTAATGCATAGTCTTAAGTTCCTGATTTTGTTCCACCCATTTGTATTAGAAAGAACCCTAGCAAATCGTAATATGTCTGTGCATTGAATTCTACCCCAAAGCCTTCTGCTTTTTAATATTTGGGCAGAAAACAATAGTGTGCGTAAATGTTGTCTTGCTCAGAAATGCATGGCCAAAACAATATGATGAAACTTTAAGGAGCAGCTTGAGTTTCTCTGGGCAGTTCTGGGATCACTGCATGTCTTTGCAGAAAGAGCCAGGAACTGTCTTCTGGACATGCTGTAAGGCTCCTCATTTTTTTCCTGGGCATTTGACAAGAGGGTGGGTTGAAATTTGATAAGTTGTTGCTTATCTGTTGCTTGTTAATCACCTGCCAGCCCTGGAATGCCTGCTAAACATTGGGCGAAACTATAAAGGCCGCCCTTTGCTGAAGCAACCCATTATGTTATGGACCTAGCCCTAGCTTGAGATCCATCTGGGTGTCATTCAGTCCACAAAGAGGCTCCCTCCTTTTCGGGATGTGCCCCTTGAAGATGATGATGGGTTGAAGTTTGATGGATCGGTTAGATTAGTTACCCTTGTAATATTTCTCTGGACAGATTCTTTGTGTTAAATTGTTCTTTGGAAGTTTGCATCCCTTTTCTCTTTCTACCTTATCCTGCAGCACATAGAGCCCTGCTTTCGTGCTGTATAAATATAACTAATTATCAACGGGTCTGGTTGCAGCTTCCTGTCCCTGTACAGGAGCTGGGTTTGCTGGGTGCTCTGCTTTTTTTCCAGGGCTTCACAACAGCATTGAAAGTTGCAGCTAGCCGCGGGTCCAGACATTCCTCTAACTTCTCTTTCTTAAGTATGCAAAGATTCTGCTGTCAGCTAACTCCTACCCTGCACGCTCTCCCCACCCCACACTGTTCAGGGCTTGCTGTGTTTGGTGGGTTTGAAAGTCTCTTGTACCAGCAGGCGCCTTGAGACACAGGCTGGAAATAGGTTTCAGATGTTCCCCCCCCCTTCTTCCCCGGGTTTCTGGGCCTGCATCCTGTGAGCTGAGGCGTTTCTATAGGAACCGTGTGACATCTCGCCTGCTACTCCCTCAGTGGCTCTCTCACGAGCATGCCCAGTACGAGCCTTGACTTTGGCTCAAGTGTCCTGTTTGCAGTAACGGGCTGCACATAGGGACTATGAATAAGGTCCCCGATGAGCTCCAACTCTTTGTCTCTGAGAGGAGGAGGAGGTGTGGGAGATCGCGGCCTAAGCTGGAGGATCTGCTCTGTGTACTCTGAGAACTTGGCCCTTTGGCGGGCTCGTGAAGAATGCTTGCCTGTTTGGCCAGGGGGAATTTACTGGATATTCTTCAAGAGGGCTTCTCAGAGGTAAATGTGTGTGCCCGGTCTCCTACAGACCCTTACAAGGCAATGCAGCTTTCTGTACTGTAGCATCTCTCATAACACTGTGTCTCTCCCAGTGCTTTGCAGAACTAAATAACAATCAGGGAGAGAGAAATTATGTTGGAAAGGGAGAAAGATGCTTAGTGACAGAAGGGCATGCTAGGCAGCTCAGCTGGCTTTCTGCGGGTCAGCAGTAGTTTTGCAGAGTTTGTGGGTAATAACAGCTGTTAGTTTCTGTGCAAAATGCTGCAGAAGCATTTACTCTGGGATCAGAACAAAATATAAAGTACAGCAAGGTCAGGAGTGAACAGGGACCCTTTAGAATTGACTGCTCCCCTCTTGTGCTTTGTAGGTCTTGGTGTTTGTTGTTGGAAAGGCTGTAAGTCTCTTTTAAGGGCATGCAGAGTCATTGAGAGTGTCTGGCATGTTGTGGTCTGTGTGGTTCATTTTCTATCTTGTTTAGTAAGTTAAATAACCCAGGGATTGAAACTCAGTTTGGACAGCAGTTCCTTGTTTTGATCGCAGGGAGCCTGGTGAGTTTTGAATCACTGGGTGAGACCTCCCAAGAAATCACTGAGATGGAATTCCTGAGACCACATCAGGAAGTAGAGTTGCCAGGTGTCCGGTTTTGAACCGGACAGTCCAGTATTTGAACTTTCTGTTCAGGAATCAAAATGAAAAAATATAAATGAGAAAATATAAATGTCTGATATTTTCTAAATAAGATGTACTGAAGATTGTGATGTAATGTCAACTGTGTCTGGTATTTTTGTTGAAACCATCTGGCAACCCTATCAGGAAGTGGATAGTTTATACCTCCCTTCTCTAAGATACACAGAAAGTTAGTTCAAATGGACTTTGTCTAGTTGACATTTGCCAAAGTGTGGCCCCCCAAAAAGAATGCCAGGTTAGCCATCGCTGGGCTGGTTGTGTGAGCAAAGCGTGCTACACTATATAGATCACAGTAGGGAGGGATTTCCTGTATATGTAGGATGAGAAGGAAGGAGAATAGGGGGGTTGTACTGGAATTAAGTATTTCCTGCTGTTTCCTTCCTCACATGATGGAAGTGATGGAATCTTGCTACATTTTATTCCTTCCTAGATGGTATATCTTGTTTTGTTTGTATTTAGAGGTCTTCCTGCATTCCAAGCCCCAGAGCACATGATTTTTCTGTCACCATCTGTCACGGAGTGGTGTGGGGGGAGGGTGATGCTCTGGAACTGCCCTGTATGAAGCCAGCCGGGACTCTGGCGTCCTCTCTCATACTGTCACCAGGGCAAGACGCTTACACAGCTTCGACCTTCCTGGGTCTAACCACAGAGCATTCAGCATCCCCTTCCGCCCTGTGAGCTTCCTGTAGTTAGCCCACCCAGAGGGCCCTGCACTCCAATGCCCCAGTCAATAGAGGCTTTACCAGTAAAACGGAACACTTATTAGTAGATAGGGACACAACATAGAACAGATCTTGTTAGCATAGAAAACAGGAGTATTCAGTAAAGTCCATTTTTTGGGGGGAAGGGAACCCAGACCCAGGCTCTGGCCCTCCTCCTGCACTCTAGCCATTTGAGACTGACCCACTTCCAGCACTCTGCCCTGGACACCCCTGTTGCTCCTCCTCTGGGGTTTGTCCTGTTTCCCGGGCAAAAGTGTCAGCTGGTTGCGTCTCTTTTCTGGGACACAAGTTAGGTGAAGGCAGCTGGGCAGCCTCAACTGCCCAAGGGTCTCAGCAAAAGTCACATCCCCAACTCCCATATCATGTAGGCATTGAGGTAGTACTCAGGGAAACTGAGGCACACATAGTGTTACTATAGGACCGTAAGACTCATATGCAACATAAGTTGAATAAAACTCTGCTTTTCCACACCAGCCTCGGCTATAGATACAGATCCCATCAGGCCTTGATAGGTCTAGACAGCAAAGGGGGAGACAAGAAGAGTCTGAGTCTTTGGTTTTATGGCAGGCCACATTCAACTCTTTTAATAATCTACTGCATTTTGAAATGTCTCCTGATTAACAGTATAAATGCTCTTCCTCCTCCCCAATACAGTATCCCTGTCCAGATCTTTCTGCCTGATGTGTACCCAAAACTCCATCCCTCTATCAAACACATGCAGTTTTAGTATAATCCACTGGTCAGTGTGTGTTATCCTCTGTGCTCTTTACCAAGGGTGTCAGTCTGTCATAGCTCTGAGTTGGAGAGCTGCATTCTTTAGCTTAAGCTATAGAGACTACTGCTTTCAGTTCCTGGGGTCAGCCAATATGGCGGCCATTAAATAAATGTTCTCCACGTGGGAGCAGAAACCTGTCTCTTTACAACATCTGCTCCTACTCAAATTGTCTAGTTTCAGCCAAAAGCTGTCCTGGTAGCTGTGGAGAAGAAATGCTTTCCTCTCCCAGTTTAATAATAGCAACTCTAGTATTCCTGCTTTGGTAGTTATGGGGAAGAGAAACAAGGCTGGGATCCCACCTTAAATCCTTATGGCAGCTTGGTGTGCAAGTTAAAACTAAAGGCAAGTTAGTAAAGTGGGACAGCATCAATATCCCCATTTTACAGCATGTCGGTTGTATAGCTGGGAGTGGAGTCCCTATTCCTCATCCTTTGCTCTAACTCCCCTTCTACACTTTCTTGTACCTTAAAAGAGTTGTATATAACCCCTCCCCCCAGCTTTGAAACAGTTTTCCTCAATGTCTGTGCAGCCCGTAAGTGTAGGCAGATGTAATGGTGATGGATGCCAGTATAGGATGCTGATGTCAGGAGCGCTGGGAGAGAGAAACCTGTCAGCATTAGAGTAAAGTATAAAACCAGATAAATCTGATTTCACATGATGGACCTGTCGTGGTACTGAAGGAGCCCCCACACCAACAAAAGTGTAGTTGTGCCCCTTGTAGTACATCTCTCCTGTGAACCAGCAGTTGTTACTGGATTTATGTACCTTGCAGAATGTGGGCTCCATTTCCAAAGCTGTGAACAACTCCGATGCACACCACTCACTAGTAAGCACACAGATGTTCATACAGGGCTCATATGCACCCACTTTACAGGCAGCATTCAGAGGAGGTGTGGTTCTGGTTTAAGCAGGAATCAATTTGCACCATTAGTGTGTGGTTCATATATGGGAATTTGCATGTAGACTATAAACTGAGTTGGGTAGAGTCTCTTTGTATCTTTCTCTCCTTGTTCATCCTGCTGGCCAAGGACCAGGCTCATTAACCAAGAAGAGGGGATTGAAATGTGCCAGTCTTGCCCCTCCTGCAGCTGGTGCGTGTTCTGCTTTACAGATCACCTGTCAGAAGGTGCTTTTTCAGTGACTAAAACAATCCCTGATTGCAGAGGGGCCCTGCACTTTGCAGTTCAGGGCTGTTTGCCTTCCTGTTTAAAGTGATGCAAATATGTCATCCGGACACATCTGAAGCAGAGTGAGTTTTGTTTAATGTTGAAATGCAGAAAGCTCTCCCATGGGCATCATACAACCCCGGTTCCTTTTTCATTAATGGAATATTCTGCAGTGAAGGTGCTTCCCTGCTGTTTGTAAAAGCAGCTTTTGCTGCTTTGAGGCAGCTAAATAATTCAGACCCACAGCTGGACAGCAGCACGGGGATGCATGGTGGCTGTCAGTGGCAGGTTATAACATAGAGAACCCTAGAGGACAGGATCTACTTTGTAATGATGCAGTCTTTGTGGTCTCAATTTAGCACCTCTCTTGCTGAAGAAATGCACCTTATTTAGGACATGAGCTCAGACCTGTCAGTTGCTTGAGACTGAGGGGGCATTCAGAGCTTCAGTAAATTTGTCAGAAAAGGCCCTGACCGTTCCAAGGAGTTAATGTTGTTGAATTTCAACAATTATTCCCCTTTCTATACTTTCCTCTGGAAGTTGGAGGATCATTTCCTTTGACAGACTCAGGAGTTGGCTGTTTATGAGCAATGAGTTGCCTAAAGTGGCTGTTGGCTGGTTCCAGGCTTATGTCTGAAGAACATGCATGGTCTTTGCATAGGGCTGGCTCCTCCTGGGAAGATGAAACATTGAGGACTCTTCAAGGACCACAGTGTGAATCTTTTCTGAATCAGAATGTCACTGTCTGACAGCAGCAAGCAGCCTCAGAATTGCCACTTAGTTGTGGGAAATAATAATAGTGCCCATGCTGCAGGGGGATTGCTGTGGTTGCTGTGATGGGAATTGCCTGGCTTTTGTGCATGTTCCATCTGTCTTATTGCATTAACAGGGTTCGTTGTATCTATCTTTATATGCAGGTTCTTAAATAGAGCCCATCTCCTTGAGATACAAGTGCCAGGGAAAAAGCCAATTTGTTTGTTTGTATATTGTTAGAGTAATTCTCTGGCATTGTAGCATCTCTGTTCAGTGTGGTTCTCTCAGCTCTTCTGCTCCTTTCGGTCCAGCATTCTTGCTCCTTGATAGAAATGTCTCTCTCAACTGTTGAGATCTTAGCATAAAATATCTGCCCTCCGGATTTGTCATAGGATTCACCATGGAGAGATGTTTTTAACTTTTTCCCTGCCTGTAGGAGCTCAAATTATTAGCCTTACTCAATGGTGAAAGTAACTTAAAATTTCCTAAGCTTCGGGGGGTAGCCGAGTTAGTCTGTACAGGATAAACTTAAAAAACCAACAAATAGTCTGGTAGCACTTTAAAGACTAACAAAACATGTAGATGGGATCATGAGTTTTTGTGGGCACAGTGGTCATCTGAAGAAGTGGGCTGTGCCCATGAAAGCTCATGATCCCATCTACATGTTTTATTAGTCTTTAAAGTGCTACCAGACTATTTGTTGGTTTTTTAAGTTTAAAATGTCCTAAGAGTACTGTCCTATTGCAACCTGGGACCCTGCCAGCTCTTTAAATAGCTCCCTGCTGGTTTTTGCCACAGCTCAACCAGCTCTTGCTGGAGCTGCGCACCAGGGCACACCCACTCACTTTCAATTCTGGTGTCACGCCTATCCTTGAACACTGGCTATGGGATTGTGAC